GAGCATGCCTAAGGGCACTTTGTGCCTGAAAGCTTGTCTACCTTCTCTCCCAGCTATTCAGGTGGTTCAATAAAAGATACCACAAACAAAAGCTTGCTTAACATACATGAACAGTTGCAAGTTCAGCACCAAGCACATTTTGAAACACAGCTGATGATAGTTGTGCTGGTGACATTGATGGTGGCGAACACCAGTAATAAAATAGACTATTTCCCAGAAAGTGGGGCACCCAAGTTCAGTATTCTCTTCAGTATGAGGGAGTTCAAACCTACAGGTCCCATCTCCCAAAAGAGTGCCCTACTGTCCTGTAATAGGCTAGTTTGGTCAGGGAATCCTCCACCCCTCCTGCTGAAGCTGTGCCACTGCACAGTCAAGAATAAACGATTCATGGGTCCAGACAATGAGCAAGCAAAAGGAGCATGGCTTTGTGTCCTAGCCATTAGGACACTCAGTTGGGATGGGGAGGTCCTGGTTTTTGGCTCCTACTCCTAGGTCTATTAATGCATTTTGCAATTATCAGTTAGCAGATAACAATAAGAAACAACTGTGGTTTCAGGGACCAGAACCCAGGACTACACAATTTCAGCCCACTATGCTGACCAATGTCTTTTAGATTAGCGACAGACATTCAAAAAGCCCAAGCCTGAATTGATTCATTCTTTGCAGGTTAGTCTAACTTGCAGAGCTTGAACCGATTTGCAAGTGGATAGACTTTCACTTTTTAATCAAGAAATACAGGCACATGCCTGCAGTGGCTTAGGCTAGAAGCCAGGGGGTGCTAGAGCAGCCCTCCCTTCCCTTCCACACTGCTGAGCTGAGGGGGGGCATGGCCAGGCCCTGGCAAGACGCTTTGATTAGGGAGGGGTTTAAACCCCCACCCTACCTGCACAGTCCTCAGCTGCAGTATGCCTGGAGGGGGAGGGGGAAGCAGTCCTTGCTAGGCTTTTCCTAGCTCACTGTTCAAGGGGCAAGAGCGTTGCCAAACCCTGGCCCCCGGCTAGCACTCTGAGGCAAGGGTGAAGTGGGTAGGGAGGACTGTTTGTGTGCAGTGCATGCATCTGTTGACAATACTGATCTTTTCAATCTCCCTCTCCCTGATTCTTCATACTGTCTGCAGCAGACTCACAGACAAGCAAGCTAACAGGGAGCTGATAACACAGAGTTTATCATCCCATCAAGAAAACAAAAGCCTCTCTCATTAGTTCAAGCTCTTCTTAAACAGCTTTTTTCCAAGGAATGAATGGAAGAACATTACCAGTTTACCTATTGCTTAGCTCCAAAAAGTCCTAAGCAGACATTGTTCTGTCTGCTTTTGTCCCAGAGAAACTGGAGACACACATAGACACCTCCCAGCATTAGCTAGTGTCTCGGCCGGCCAGAGCCGACTCGAGGTGATTTAGAAATTGATCGTTCGTCAGGGCGGGCTGGTGAATGGAGAGGCAGACAAGGTTTAATGGTTGCAAAAACGTTTACTTATGCCGCCTGTACTTCGGTTGTCTGAACAACTATGTGAGTTGCTCCAGCTGGCGAGGCCCAAGCCAGTTAATCCGTCCGCAAATCAAGCCGGCGGGAAAAGGGTACGTCTGGGATTGCGCTCGGCGACGGGAAGAAGGATCGATAGGTGATCAGTCTATCGATCAGCTAGCCGCAAGTCAGATCTCTTTAGAGGCACTCTGCAGCGTGCTCAAAGTTCTTCGACTTGGGCGGAAGTCGCTCTGAATTTTAAACGGCTAGCAAGCCAATTACTAGCCGCCACGTAGGAATAATTTAGCACTGGCCAATAGCAGGACACAAATTTGCATTCGAATGGCGGGAACTCTTTGCACCGTGCATTTCTGTACTGCAAAGAAGAAATGCACCCTGCAAATTGGCGGGAAATCTCCTGCACGCGGGTTCTTAATTGCAACAAAAACCTTCGCTGTGCAAGAGGCTCTCATGTGGCAAGAAAATTCCATCGTGCCGAGGCACCAAAATCACTGGGTTGTGACAGCTAGCAAGGGGGTGGTGTGACCATGACCAGATGCTGGCTAGCATCTGTGCAGTTGGGGTCCGTGCTGTGGGAGAAGGGAATGGGATCCCTGCTTGAGCGGTGAGGTGGGGTGGGGCAGGGGGAAGCCAGGCAGATGCTGCTGTGCCTGCAGTCCCCTACCTGCCTTCTCAGCCGGCCAGAGCAGTAATAGTGCTCCAGCTAGGGAGGATTTATGTGCACTAAACTTACGTTCTGTTACAGGTTTAAACCAGTTGCTGATCACTTAAATGGGTTTATGTGTAACTTCTGTCTCTAGTCTTATTATTTTTCTTGACCCAGGAATCTTGCCTTCCTTTCTGCACAGTGGCACAACTTTGATGGGAAAGGTAGAGAGTGCCCTAATTCAGGATAGTTCAGATTGTGGCCATTGGGGCTCACTCCTGGGAGGTTTGAAATGTGTGTTTGAACCTATCAGGCTGAGGAAGACACTGAACCCATGTTTCCCACTTCATAAAGAAGTGATCTAGCTTTTAAGGTACTACATAAAAGATAACACCAGTGCCACGACAATTGCTACCATTTGCACCTTTTATTTGTTTTCTAGTTGATATGTTGTTTCAAAACAGAGTCAGGCAGTCATTCCTATGCAAAAGGGTGATGTAGATGTCCAAGGACAGGAGCAGATTTTGTACTAGGAATCTCAGGCTAACAGAGTTGCATAACTACAGCCTTCTGATAGGCCCCAAAGTGAAGGGAAAGGTGCAATTTCAGATGCCCCACTTTGGTATTTCCTTTTTGTTAGCTTAGGTGTCTCCCCATTCAGCATTCTGACTGTTGTAAAACCTATTCCTACACCCCTAGCCCTCCCCATTTGCTGTATATGGAACATAGGTGCCTAATTCAGGTTTCCAATTTCCACTTCTGGAGCGCGGTACAAAAGTCAAATTATGCTTCATGTTGCTAAGTCTGGTATCTTTTATTAGTTTAAATAGTTGGAAAAAGTCTTTGCAAGCTTTTGGGTACAAGCACCCTTCTTCAGGCTGCCTGAAGAAGGGTGTTTGTACCTGAAAGCTTGCAAAGATTTTTTCCAACTATTTTAATTGTTTTAATAAAAGATATCAGATTTGCTGAAAGAACCTTGTCTGTCTATATCCTTAGATAAACATGGCTACAACGTATACCCCTTCTTTTATTTGAGGAAGAAATGTGGAACTTGGGCTCATCGTGCTTGGAACCTGTGCCTACCTCTATAACCCTAAGTGATCTTGAACATCTGCAAATGCACCGATATGAGACATGACATAACCTTGAGGGGTACCTGGGTGCCATGGTGGTGAGTGAGCCAGTCAGAGAGGCCAGGTGGGTTTCAATGGGGTGGGAATGAGCAATGGGGAAATCAATGGAGATAACAACTGGAGGAGGCTCCATCTGCTCCTCCCAGTGGCTCCATGTCCCTACAGCTGGGATCATTGTAGCCCCTCTCTGTCAGGCAGCCGCTGCAACTCCAGGTGCGGGGCAGTGCAGGCACTCGGCAATTGCCCCCTTGTGTTTGTCCCTGCCACGGCCCACGGCAGAGGCCAGGGGCACCTGCACACAACCTGGCATCCCCCTGCTGGCTGGGGGAGGCACGGCTGGGACCAGTGCTGAGGGCCTTTGCAAAAAGCCTTCTCCCTTTGTTTACAGATTCCGGAGGCGGGATGTGGGACAGCAGAACGGGTTGCTGGCAGCCAGTGCATTGCTGCACTCCCAGGGCCAGCTGGGAAGGACACTGTCCAGGGCTCCATGGGCACCTCCACACTTCATAAATGCACTTTAGGTAATGTGCATTAAATTAGTACCTCCATTATGCACGCTAGCAAAAGAGCACGGTTTTTTTATGATGTTTTAATACGCATTAAAGTAGGCTAATGCATATTAAAATGCACGTGTAGATGTGTCCCATGATTTCAAATCCATTTCACCCACAGCGCGGGAAAAGCGGGGGGAGAGAGGTGGCAAATGAGATCGGACACATTAGAC